TTATGTAGGTCGTGATGATTTTTCTGTTTGTGGTTTGACTTTGGTCTTTTTTAAAGTTCAATTCAATTGCATTTGCTAAAAAGAAGGAAAATTACGCTCTCCAGTTACGAAAGCGGAAAAGGTGCGAAAAATAACTTTTAGGTACGAAATCGGATTAGATTTGCCAGTGGAGGAAAAGCATTTACGCATTTATCCAGAGTTCATTTTGTCTATTGATCCAGTTTTCTCTAATTGGGCTTTTTCCTTGAAAAAGTGTTGATTCGAAATTTTATCTATTGATCCAGTTTTCTCTAATTGACTTTTCGCTGGAAAAAGTGTTGATTTGAAAAAAAAAATGCAATTTAGAAAGCTTCAACGTGATGCATAATTTTCTTCGGAATTCAAAAAGTTTTTAAAAAAATCAATATATGTTTTTCGGTTTACTTGAGTGCATTGAAACTTTTCCGTTTGTTGGCTATGTTATGCTTGACTTCACGCAGGTCAGCTTTGCCTCGAATTACAATATGATTTCGGCTTTTTCATCAAATAGTTAAATGCATTAGTTTCTGTTTCTTTTTTAAGTAAGGTTGCTGATATATGGCGTTGGAACGATTTTCGTATATTTTCTTGTTAGTTTATGATGAACGTTAACTGAGAAGTTGTTAACGCTCACATTTGGTTTCGACTTTTGATTTCGACTAGCGCTCACATTTGGGTTTGACTTTTGATTAATTTTGAAGTTCAATACAACTTGATTAGTTAAAAGAAAGAAAAACTCCGCTCTCCGATAACGAAACTGCATAAAACTTAGTTTTCTCAAGATGAGTTACTTTTATGAAGAGAAATGAACGTAGTGAGTACTGTTATATAGGTCTTGGAAGTTTTTTCGTTTGTTCTTTGATTGTTTGTTTGATTTTCCGCTGTTTTACTTTTGATTTTTTTTAAGTTTAGGTCTATTTGTGTTAAAAGGAAGGCAAGCTCAACTATCGAATAGCAAAAATGTAAAGGTCACGAACAACGTGATCAACTTCTTATTTCGAAATGTTAAAAAGCACTTAATTTTGTCAAAAATTAGTTTGCCTAAAGGTTAACTTTGTCAAAAATGCACTTATCATTAATTGTTTGTGAAATTCAAAGATCTTTAAGGGTATACATTTTTTCTTAAAATTCGAAAGTTGAAAAGTTTTTTTTTAAAGAAGCCAGGTTTTTTCTTTCTTTGTATTCATTACTTTTTTCCAAATGTCGTTTGGCTATCTTTTACAAATGTCAATCATGAAATTTTCTTGAAATTCAAAGAGTCCTAAGGCGATATATTTTTTTCTGTGAAATTTGTAAATATTTTTAAAAAGTTTTTTTTTTTGCTCATAAGTTAATTGAGCTTTTTTACTCCAGCGAGCTTGTGAGTGTTGTCTTATATCAAGAATTCAATTTTTTCCAATCGATGCGCATACATTTTTGGTGGCTTTTATGCTGCATAGTACTGCCAGTTTTATAGAGTGAGCTCTTCGCATTATCAGCAGCGAGTGCTTCGTTTCTTTAAGCGTCACTAGCATAGTTGTGTAATTCTGGTGGACAGTTTCTGGTTTTGTATTACTCAGCTAGTTAACAGGTTTTTTCTCAATTTTTCCGAGGCAGTCCCTCTTGGTATGGAGTCCCCCTAGGATAAGATTAAGAACTGCTCTGCTTTCTCAGCGTTTGAGGAGAATTAACTATGAGAAAACAAATGTTCTTTGGTTTTTCTTCTCTGTCCAGAGACTGCTCGTCGTATGGGAGGGGAATTAAAGTAGTTTTTGCCCCATTTTACTGGATTTCTAATTGTTAAAAAATGCTAATCATAAAATTAAAATTTTCATATACAAAAATGTTCTAATTTTACTATTACCATACATGACAAAATGCGAGTGATGCAATTTCCATATGCGAAAAAATACTAGTCATAGACCTTTCATGCAATTGTTTTGTACGTATGGAATTGTATGGAAAGTGTATGACTAGCATTTTTGTCAACCCGGGGGCCTGTCGGCTTGAATGCTCGAGAATGTGGATCGATTCTCTTGAATTTTCTCTTCAAAACGCGTTAATATTTTAGTTCGTTTTTTTTTTAAATCTTTCAAAAGATAATTTTTGGCGTTTTGTCCCTGATGTTTGCTAAGTGCAGCGTCGGTTCTGTGTCTAGTTGTCTGATGGCTATGTTTATTTTGTTTATCTTCAGATATTTCCTGTTAGTTTTTTTTCGGGTAAAATGCTTTCGAAGAATAATGAATTTTTTCAAATCATTTTTATGTTTTTGATGTTAACGTGGAATTCAGCTCCCGGTAACTGGGCTTTTAAGTGCTTTGAAGAGTTTGAGAAGAGATTTTTGAAAACAGTGACTCAAATGTTCAGTTGGACCAAGTGCTCAGTCTCTTATCGGAAATTCTTCCAGTTGTGTTACTTTCCAATCCGAGTTTGAATTATTTGTTGCTTTTACTTTTAATCGATTTCTCAAACTTCTCGCAAACTTCTCAAACTACTCGGCTGTATTCGAATTGCATTTTTTTTGACATCTTTAGCCATGACTTCACAAATTTCATACACGTGAAGCTCAAATATGATTCAATTAGGTAATTTCTTCTTCTCGAAAGCACTTCACGAAACTCGCCTGTAAATTTTTATTGGGAGGATATAAATTTGCTGTCTCTCAAGTTAAAATTATTCTTTTGTTACAAATCATAGAAATATTCCGTATTTGCAAACAGGCTGAATAACTTTTGTTAAGTTTCAGTAAACTTTTTATGTCAGTCAGCTTCCTGGTTTTAGAAAGATAATTTTGTTCTTTTTTCAACTATTTCTAATGGTCTTAATAAAATGGTCTTTGATGTTTAGACTGCCGTCAATTTAGATACCTGAATTATAGCCAGATATTTCTGTAATTATACTTTCGTGTTTTATCGGTGTCTTTTTCTTTTATTTGAAACATTGATTTTCTTAGTCGTGTTTACACCATCGAAGCGTAGTGTACTACTACGAAGAATTTTTTTCTAACTTTAGTGTCACATCTTAAACATTTTCAAACATTTCCATTGGTGCATTTTGAAAATGTTCAAGATTTGTTGTTTTCCGTTTTTTTTAGCGACGCTTTGGAGGTTTTTTGCTTTTTTTGCAAAAATTTCAATTTTTCTAAAACCTTTTGCATCGATATTCACAAAAAAGCAATGGAAAAATCGGCTGCTCTTCACATTGATTGAATATTTGGCTAGTCTCTTTTCATTTCACCTCACGTTCTACGGCCTTCGATAGTTTCATTAGTGGGATTTTGGGCCTATCTGTTTTGAAGATTTTTTTTCTTTTTGTCCAATAATAAATGCACAAATCTAAAATGGCGTTTTCAATCCAAACGAATCTCAGACATTACGACCAAGTTTTAATCGAGTATGTTTGGGAGATCATATATTCCACTTAGGAATTACACGAAAGTTCCGATAATCGATCTCCGTGGTACCCTACAAGTTTCTTCTAGGTTACTCTTAAATTCACTAATTTCAGCATAATGGAGTTTTTTAAGATTATTTTTTTATCCTTGCGATGTTTTGCAATCGGGTACTAGACTTTTTCCCCCGTAAACAACTTTCTTCACACTTTTAGACGATCTCCTCTTCTAAGGGATCTTCACGTTTAGTGAATCTTCTGGTTTCAAGTTGTCATTTCAGGTTGTAGTTATCTTTTCAAGTTTCAGGCTGTAATTATCTTTTCAAGTTTCAGGTTGTAATTATCATTACAAAAAAAACTTCTCGATTTTTTCGGCTTAGTGGTTTTATTCCTGGTTTCTGTCGGTTCATTTTCCGATTTTTCAAACGCCATTTTTTTTTATCTAGTAGGGATTTCATTGGCTTAGTTTTTAAAGCATGGGTTTTATTCCAATTTAAACAATTTTTTCATAACTGAGCTTTGCAAGTTTGTAAATTTACCCTGTATTTTAACAGTTAATTTTTAAACAGTTTCAATTAATGGTATATCGACATAGTCAATTTATTTTTGCGTTATTTCGAGGACAAAAACATTCGTTTAATAGTATGTGTTTTTTTTTTCATTTTCGATGGGTCGTAGAAACTTAAATTTTAAGAAATTTTTTATGACAAAAGTTTTGTTTTCGGCTCAATAGGTTTCGACTTAAAATTAGTCGCCTTTTTTGCCGCTCGGTAATTGTTTTCTATTTTAAGGGTTGTTTATGAACTTCATCTGATACAAATATGACATTTTTTGTATCTGTAATTTTTCAACTTTTGTCAAGTTATTTTTTCAAGTAGTTTTTTAGAATTTTTTTTGGCTTCTGTTTTTTTTTCGTTCACTATTTTGTACCGCAATGTCTTTTTTGCATCGCAAGTATTTCGAAGCTCAGCTTTGCCTCTGTGTCTCACATTGTATTGTCTTGGCATGCTTTTGTTTCAAAACTAGCCTGATTGATTTTGATAAATCTAGTTTCACATTTTCAACTTTTTTTCAATTATTTTTCTGTTTTTGCGACTTTCTTGTTTTGTACTGCAAGTGGTGCGAAGCCCAGCTTCACCTCTGTGTTACCTTTTCTTTTGCGTCATTGCGTTCAACTTATTTTCCAGAATTTTAAAAATATTTGCAGTATCAAAGGCTTTCAAAAGATAAAGAAGCGTACAAGAGGCTTTTCTTTATTTGACAAATAGGCTTCAATATTTTTCCTAAATCAAAATCAAATGGACTATAATTAAAAGGGTTTCAATAAGAAGACATTTTTTTGTGTTTTGGACATGCTTGAGGTTTTTGGGACAGCAAATAATGGGATAAATCGGTTTACTTTCGACTGACGCCCATTTGTATGCTCGGCGATTGAAGCTAGTTGACAGGTCGCCATTCAAACTGCTCTGCTGTCCCCATTAAAAACACTGTTGTAGATGGAGGCAGTAGCTTTCATTTTTGCTCTTTTGTTCTCTATTCTGTGTGAATTACCCGCTTTGTTACTTTACATGCCATTTTTCCAATTTATTTACCACTCTGTCAATTTCAGGTTGAATGCGAAACTGCAGATATTTGGCGCATGTCCTTAAAGACTCTTCGCTTTTTCTACCTTCTTCATACATCAATCAATTACAATTTTTTCAACTTGTTTCCAACATACTTTGCCCTTGGTTCTTACCATTCACACTGCCCGCTAATTATGACGTGACATTTGACGTAATATCTAATCTAACTTGAACTTGACATCGTTTTTGCGTGGTGGGTTATCTTATGTGCGTACATATGCAAATTGAAAAAAAAACGTTCAAGTTATTTGAAGTTGATAAAATTGTAGAGGTATTGCGACAGTTTGATGAGATACTGTATAGTGGACACCCTCAAAAAGCAGACTAATTGAGGAAATGAAAAATATGCATAAGCGAAGTGCAATTGTTTGCCAAACTCTTCTATCCGTTTTCTAATTAGCAACAAGAGTTGCCTTAACATTTTTTCTCGCTAGCAGGAAATTGGCGCTGCATAGGTGCTAATTCTTAACAGACAGCTCTTTCAAATCTGCAGTTTGTCTGGTTGAAAGTTGTAGAATAGTAATTACCATTTGATTCTTGGCCAAGGGGTTGTTTTGTTTTCCGGTTCATTTATCAAGCTCCGCATCGCAGCTTTTCTAATGGCCCCGTATAGTGAAAATGTTTCCTGTCCTTTAAAGCCGACTCACGAGCCTAGGCTATGGATTGGTATACAAGGGGTAATAGCCTGATATTATCCTGGCAGGCAAACGAACCGTTCGTTTATTCAATTCCTTTCCTTAAAGCCAATGAAACGCTAGCATTGTTTCTTTTGCTACCAGCGCCCTTTGTAAGTCATTAATTTTACTGTGCTACTTTTTTTGCCTGCTAATCAATATTCGATTACTTGTGAGGGTATCTAGCTAAAGTCTTTCGCAAATAAAGATTGGCGTCGCTCTAAATTACCATTATTGACTTGGATTAACGAAAACATGTTACTTTCCTAGAGTGACTTGATCTGTTGCTGATTTTATATTAAGTTACTTTTCTCTTATCTTTCCTTAGTTCCTGTCTTCTATATAATTATCAAAACCTAATCTGCTGAAAATGATTTAAAAAAAGCGCAATTTAATTCATTCACTGAGAGTTTTTTGTGATTTGGAAACAGGTGAAGTTTTGGTTGCGCTTATGAAAAAAACATCTGTGAACTGTGAACATCAATATAGTCACGCGTGGTGGCTTACAAACAGTAAAAGTTTGATCAAGAAAAATGATTAAAATCATTCCAATTACTTTAAAAGCTCTAGTTTAAAATTCCTTCTCAAAAGCACTTTTTCTTTTTTACGCTTGAAATGAACTGAGCTAAATGCAATTATGGATAGTTCTTTCACCCTGTGACGACATTTGAGAAGAAAAATGGAGTGAAAATGGTAACAAAGATACTTCGTATGTCTACCCAGTCAAACAGGCTCTGCTGCTTTTTATTTTATTGTTCTGCTACCCTATTAGGACCTGAAATGAACTGCTTTTAATAGCTCGTCCTCAAAATTTCAGCGTAAAAGTTACTCATTATAACTACGCGTGCTCTAATATCTCTCAATCATTCTTACTTGTTTCATATTCCATTTTTAGTCTACTATCGGTTATTTATTTTTTTGTTTCCTCTTGTTTTTTTCCTTGCGATGACACATCTATGACTGTATAGTGTCAAAATGGGCGGGAATGTTGCCAAGTTTTATCGCGCCCTACAAAAAGGCAATGAAGTTCACGCTATGGCCATCTATGTCTCGGCGAGTAAAGAGATGAAAAACTATGACCCGAATCAGTTCTATGGAAAATGTTCACACGGCAACACTCCAATGCATTATGCGGCCAAGTACGCCATGAAAGAACTGCTGGAAAAGTTTCTGTATATCGGATCTATCAGAGGCGACCCAGAGTTTCCTAATTTGGAAGGAAAGAACTGTTTCCACCTCGTGTGTACGCGACTGCCCCGCAACGGAGGGTCTTCGGAACAGACACTGCCAGGAGGAGGAATGGGAGTTAATGCTCTGATAAACGGGACAGTATCCAGTGTGGAAGCTAAGCGAAGGGCAGATTGTCTGGAGATTTTGTTGAACTGGAAGAACCCCACAGATGGATCGCCTCCGGATCTGTTCATGCAGGACCTCCAAGGTATCACTTATTCACATACTTCCACCGTTAGCCTCATTTCGAAAATTTTGCTCCTATTGCAAACGGGGTTTATTTCAGTTTTCATCCATATGATGCATAATTCATACTTATAATAAAATAAAGTGGTTTCGTGTGTGTGTGTGTGTGACCAAACTCCTGTTAGTAATATAATCGTAGGACCGTGAAACTTTACATGCATGTGCATATGAATACGGGGAGTGCTATGGGCGGCTATTTGGTTTTTTAGATTTCGCCTAACTTCTTTTGAAAAGGGGCTGAAAATGGAGTTACGTAATGAATAGTAATGAGGGTTATCGAAGTTTTCGGAATAATTGTAATTGAGATAAACGTTGAACTTCAAATTGATAACATTTTTTGTTGAACATGGTATCATTTTTGACCCTGTGATTAAGAGTCTTTGAAAGTAGTGAATGCTCTTATTTAGGTCGTGGTGATTTTTTGCTTTTTGTATCAGGAAAAAGGTCAAAATGCTTTTATAATTACAGATGTGCATTCATACATATCAATGCATTTATGAATTCACTTAGATATAAACGCACTTTTTGAACTTCATCTGCCGAAAGTTAGATAACTTGCACTCTCCAAATACGAACGTGTAAATGGCGCAAAAAACGTGAACGACTTCTAGTTTCGAAAGTGGATTTTAATTTTGAGATTTCCCAGCGGAACCAACTTCACTTATTGATCCAGTGTTCTCAAGTAGAATTAATTTGATTTTAAAAGTGTCAAATATAATTTTGTCTTGAAGTTTGTCCTGAAGAGATTTAAGGTTTATATTTATTTCTTTAATTTTTGAAAACACTTCAATTCGAATTTCAGTCTTTTTTTCTTTCTTTGCGTTCATGGGATTTTTATCAACTGATTTTTGCCTATGTTCTTTCTTTAACTATTCTTCAAGTGCAGGGGTTGAGTTTTTACAAACTTTAAACTTAGTAATATGCAACAGTAGTTATATTACAACATTTCTCTCTTCAAGGACCAGAAAACTTGAATAGGAAAGTAAAGCTAAGTTGGGTAGTTTGATTTACGAGATTAGGTACCGAGCCACAACTGGCTTTACAGCTAATGTTTATTTAGTATAAACTCATCGTTTCTGAGACTTCTAGCGAAGGTTGAAGGGGAAATGAGTGGAGATTTACCTACATCAATCATTTAACTAATTTAATCGAAACACTATACAAAATGATTTATGATTCGCAAAATAGCTAATCACATAATTTTGTTGTTTTGAGGATGTATCTTTGAATTTAAGACATTTCAAGAAAATAACCACTTGCGAAGAAGTCATGGTGAAGTTAAAAAATGACTCTTTCCCATGATACCAACCCAGGAAATGATAACCTCTCGGATAATTAAAAAAATAATAATAATTTAGTAGAAATATATAAAATAGGAGGCAGGAGGGGGGGTGGCTATAATGGTATAATTGGGAATGCCTGCAACAGACGAATGTGTTATGTGTTGCTGTGTTGTGTGTAGGCAACACAGCATTGCACGTGGCGGTGGTGAGTGGGCTGGTGGACTGTGTGCGTCTGTTGCGCAATGCGGGCGCCCCTCTCCTCTTCGTGGAGAACAAGGACAAGAAGACTGCGTGTGACCTGTGTGAGAAGCAGTCCCATCTCACACACATCGCCAGCTTCCTCGAGTCTGCCATGGTCTTCAACTGCCAACAGGTAGCTGAGCGAAAAGAAAAGAAAATAGTAATAATAATAGTCATAATATTATAAATTTAAAAAACAGTACTAATAATCATAATAATAATAATCACGAGATTAATTTATTAGTAGATTATATTTTCCTTGTTTTTTGTCTAACTTTTTTTCTTTGTAGCTTGAAACCTTTATTCGCCCTTAATAGTTTCGATAAATGTTTTATAGACTTACTTAATTTTTTGGGGTAGTTTGAAGAGCAAAAATGGATTATTCATTTCAAAACCAATTCAGAATGGTTGTTGTATAAAAGTGGTACAAAAATTTCAAAACAAGTGCTTAAAAAATTTTCATGACAGCATTTTCTTACGATTTGTCTTTTGTTTTTGGCTAACTGGGCTTAACTTTTTTTCGACGTATTTATTTCCGATCTATTTTTTATTCCGTAGCTTGCAGTGATACGCTTGCGTTGTTTCGCAAGTGATGCGAAGCTCCGTTTCGCCTCTGTGTAAATTGATCAAATTGTGTTGGAAGGATTCGCAAGTTGTGTGTGTTGCTGAGATCAGTGCGCTCAGAACAGAAATCTCCGACTACGAGAGAAAGGGTCACGGAAGTGCAAATGAACCCGAATGCGAAGATGACAACGAAGAGGAAAACCGAACGAGAGTGAACAACCTTAGAAAAAAGCACAACTCGTCAATTTCTTCTTCTATTTGCGAGTCATCGACGTCAACAGTATCGATGAATGGCGAATCATTGGCGCCTAATAGAAAAGAACAGCAGAAACAGCTGCAGAGTTGCTGGACTAAATGCAGTTTCACACTGGAACAGATCGCGAGATTGAGACAGACTATATTGGAGGACACCGCCAACGAGTTGAGAATATCGCTAGATGTGAGTTGCTAACTTATTATGTTCTCAATGCAAACATTTTACTCGAAATACAAAAAGTTCAATTTGAAATCACTGCAAGGATAGCCGGTGGCTGTGCTAGTAGCACAAAATGTTACCACCATGGAATTTAATTAACATGGTACATAATTTTCAAAAAGTGTTATTTTTTCCTTCCGAAGTTAGTAACCGTTTTCTTGAATTTCATAATAGTGCATTGAAATTAGATAAATTAGCGAACTATGATTTTAAAAATCGTACTAAAAGAATTGAACGTCTGTGGTGTGGTTCATCGGAATAAATTTCCAAACCCTACTGATGATCACTAGAAATAAATCGGATAAAAATTAATCGCAGTTATGACTGGAATATATCACTCAAACACATCCGACGATTATTTGCGGTACCTAAAACACTAGTGTATAACAATACACTCTGTGTCAAAATTCTTTCCTATCCGTGGGGGTGGCCGGAACTATAAAAGCTATGAATCAATATTGTTAATCAAATCCATCAAGTAAATGACCAAACTAAATAAAAATTCGGTTAGAATTTAGCATGCGTTTTGTTAAGTAACGAAGTAGTAATATCCTTTAGGAACCAAGAGGTAACTTCATGTATTAGTAGTATAAGACTTAATTATCTTGAGGGGAATGTGTAAGCCTTCTTTTAGTAAAGTGTTCGTGTTTGTTGTTCAGGAGGCCGAACTGCTCTTAATGCGAAGCTGGTGGTTGAAGGACTTGGCAGTGAGCACTTACACGGACATGGCGGAGAAGCTGAGTGTGCGGGGGTCTGTTGGTCAGAGGAGCAACAGTTCCAGCCTCCCCTCCCCCCTCCCGTTCCCCTCCTCCTCCTCGTCCTCCTCTTACCCTTATCCATATCAGTACCAATACCAGGTAAACTTAATCAAAACTTAATTGGCCCATTTTTTGTTGCCAATTTTTTTGCGTATTGACGTATTTCGTTCTTTTGTGCCTAGCAATTTAAGTAATGCTGTCTGAATTTTTAAATACTTCTTGAAAATAATTCGAAATTCTAAATTCATAGAGTATAAAGAGTGAATTAGTTATTCATTCATAGCTCCTACGCCCTGCCTCTTTTCTTTCAATAGAATTTGTGAAAGGTATAAAATTAAGCGCCCTTTTTCCAATTAATTTCATTTAAAAAGGCCACTGCGTTACCTGTTGATTTTTCTGCCCTCGAAGAAAAGATGGTTGAAAGGACATAATGATGTATAAATATGCTCTTTTTTCATGACTTAAATTAAAGTAGTTGACATTCGGAAGAAATAAGTTGCAATTTTGTTACGTTTTTTGTAAATAAAAATTGGGGTTGTATATTTAAATCACCGTAAGCTATGCAAACATTAACTGTGGCAAAGATCATACATGCTTTGTGTAATTATCAATCGATTCGGCAAATACATTTGTATTGTAGCGTTTAACATTCTTTTTTTTTACCAGTGCCAGTCTTCGACGACATCTACGTGTGGGAGTGGATTGAGTGGCGTTACCTGTGGGGGCAGTGGGGTCAACCAATCACAGCAGAGTGTTTGCAGTGGAAGTAGAAGCGTCCTTGTAGCTCCTCAGCCTGTTTCTTCTTCTTCTTCAGCTGCTGCACGACACCACCACTCACACCATCAGATGACCCCCTCCTCCTCGCTCAATGAGTCATCATCCTCTTATAGGTGAGTTGGGGGTTACATGACAAAAGATCCCTTACCTTAAGATCCCAAACGAGAAGATCCCAGTCAATAAAATACCATTCCAAAAGATACCTCGTTCTAAAATTGCCCACGACATAAGATACCATAATAAAATAACAAAGAATCTGAGAATTGAAAATAACGCGGTTAATCGATCAAAGCAAAAACAAAGCGTCGGTTAAAATAAAAGAAACGGCAAAAATTTTGCTGCACAAATTTCCAACATAAATGACCTTGCTAATCATTTGGCCTTCACATTGAAACTCAAACTTCAAAAAATCTTAGACTACAAATGAACTTGAAAAGGGTTTCCAATTAATCAAAACCAACTTTGCCAAAAATGGCCTGATTTTCCAGACAACTTTAGTCGGTACGAAATTGAAATTGAGTTTATTCAAAATTCTAAAGCTTTGAAATCCTTTTCATTACATTACGGATAATTTGCCATTCTATTTGATAAAAAATATCAATGCTCAATTTTAATCAACCTTTTTGCTAGGCTTAAAACTCAAAGAGCCGTCAGGCCCCTACCCCAACCTAGCGTCCCGTAAATAAGGTCAATTGCTCTGGGATCAAATTGCTAGAGACAGCATTTTTGAATGCGATTCGTAGTATTGCGTTTCAGCGTTCTCTGGGAGGGTGCAAGGAGACGTCTATAAAGAAGTTGATCAAACAAATTTAAATTTAAGAGAAATTAGTCAAAAACTAAAACAAAATTTAATAGGTTAAATGGGCAAGTGAACGGATATAAGACAATAAATTAGAGTCTGTGTATGAACTTTTTCATTCAGATCACAGTACTTTTTCCGGGATAAGTTGATAGCACCGCTGGATGCTTTCAAAATATTGAATTTTTGATTGGAGGAATCCAGTTGAATTGTTTCAAGAAACGTGTATATATATATTGAAGGATGGCTGCCTTGAAACAAAACGGTGATACCTAGATGCCACCCTTCAACTGCATTTGTGGTTCGGGCTAGACCACACACAGAATTTTAAAAATGGTTCCATAAAGAAATAAGAGTAATTTTCGGCCAATCAAATCCCCTTAAATGTACGTTTTTTGGAAATAAGCCGTGAGCTTGTCTAATTTTTTGAGATCGTTTTGTGAAATATCTAGTTTGATTGCCACAGTGCATATTTCCTCAATTACTAGGTCGAACTCAATTTCCACTTTTGACTCCGGAACAAAACTAAGCGCAGGAATCCTATTCAACGTTAAGACTAGCTTGCTGTTTGATTCGTAAGTCTTTTTAAGGCTCAATTTGGATATTTTCCTCATAAAGCTCTGTCATAGGTGAAAATAGCGTCCTTTAATGTAAGTTTCGTAATGAGACGCAAAAGCACTCAACGCCGCAATTTGAAAATCTATTAAATTTTTTTCCGGGATTACGTCACCGATAAGCGATTTATGTGCGGCTAGGAACTTGTTATAGGTTATTAAGCGCTTGTTATAGGTTGTTGAGCAAAGCGTAGACGCAAAGCGGATAAAACCCGCCAATCTCGACGGGCACAGTGTAGAGCTGGTAAAACTGACTGGGGCAAATTTAGAAAGTACCGTCCACAAGCCAGGTTCTGTTGTAGAATTTGAGTGCAGTGAGGTTTTCAATGTCGCCAAAATTTAATATGCGTTCCGTATCTTGTATTCCGCTATCAAAAAGACAAAATTGCTTAAAACGATTGGGTGTTTCGAAATGACGGCCATATGTGGCAATAATGGGCAGAGATGTTTTTTTTTTACTTCTGTTGAAAGTTCGCGTTATCGACGACCGGCAGGGCAAACACAGTTGAGTTGCTTTGTCGTCCTGTACCCATTGCAAACTAGCTGCGATGATCTGGCTGTTTGCTGGATTAAGTTGATTCCTAACTGTCTCCTTCATTTGCTGAACTAGTTGCCGAGCGTCCTGCGTTGAGCTCGTGACTATGCTCGTTGCTGTTTGAGATAAGGTCGCTCCCAGAAGTGATTAAAGTTTTTAGACATATGATCTCCATTTGCTGCAGCGCCAGTGTGTTGTTGTCTTCGTATCATGTTTTTTTTTGAAATTCATGGCCATCAAGATAAATCAGTGTTTGGCTTTTTTGTGAGGTTCCCCAAGTAAAAGAACTCATTTTTGACTATTCAATGAGTTAAAGAGTTTTAAAGAATGCAGAGTGTATACATTTTCAGTTGATTTGTTCTAATTCAATGCAATATTAACACTAAATTAAACACATGCTGGCTCTATGTTACTCTCAAAAATGAGTCCAGTTTAAAGTTAGTTGTCTTACATTTGCGTTGTTCTTTAATAGCGCGAACCTAACTGAGATATCATTACTCCAGGTTTATTTCTGCTTACTTTTTGATCATGATTTTTATTCATAATTCATGGGATATTTTTTGATTGGCACGGGATCGTATGGTATGGGAGCTTTTAGTATGGTATTTTTTGTCCTGACACCGAGTTGGGGACTACTTAAGGACAATTATTTGAGACTATTATTTAACAATTTTCCGGTAAACATTTACCCGCTGCTCCCAAAAAAGCTAATCAAAAGTCGTCTAATTGAAGTCTCACTTATGTATTTACTATTCGGGTGGATATGTTTGTATCGAATTAATCAATTGTTTTTCTCAGGATGGCATTATTTGTATATCTATAAATAGTGATTTACTTGGCAGTGTTTTGTACTGATTGCAGTAGTCTGACGGAGGCAGATCAGAGCAGAATGAAGAGAAGAAAGGACTCCTCTATAAGCAGCAACTCCTCCTCCCTCATAGTGTCGGCTGAGGTACACACACACCAACACAGAGACAGAGACAACAGAATGAACCAGCGATCCAATTCGCCACACTTTGTTGTCGGAGACGAAAGAAAGACAAATTATCAACACAATCACAATCAGATAAAGGTAGTCGAACAACAGTGCATGTTTTTAGAGCAGAAGAGGAAAACTTTAAAACCGAGATAAAAACTCACTCTCAGAGCACTGAAAATTTCATTGTACTAAAATGTTTTGCTGCATATTTAAAAAATGTTCTTTCTTTCAAACTAGTACACCGGCAGATTTATGGGGTGGTTGGGGGGGGGGGGGGGGGGGGGGGTTGCGGCGTACGCCCTTCTTTTTAGGATTCGTTCGACCCCCTGCCGACCCCCTTTGTACTATTTTGCGATATCTATTCTTGGCAGAGTGACCTTAAAATTTTGAGGGAAGAGCATTCGCCGATAACACGCGATGTTTTGGTCAACATTTTCCAAAAGTGCCCTAAAGCGCCTTTTTGGGTCTGTTTTTGAAAAATTTGCCTGTGGTCTCTATAGTATTTTCGCATAGTAATTTGTGGACGTAAAAAAGGTCGACAAAACTTTTTTTGCCTGAAGTTTTTTGGAAAATCCGCCGACACCCACCCCCCGCTAGAGAAAATTCTAGATCCGCCCCTGAAATAGTATGCGCTCAGACCATTGTGCTGTGAATGAAAGCAAGCACTCTGCTCCTGTCACTTGTAATATAATGTCACTGATCCATTGCATACCGACAGTCGAAATCCTTGCTGTACGACGAAATGAATTGTTTTGTTTTTACAGAACGATGGATCGCAGTCAATGGGAGATGATTGTAATTGCAGCCTGCACGAAGTGTCAACGAACATGATGAGTAGCTACAAGAACACAAGTGGCGAGTTGTCTATAACCTGTTCTAAAAGAGACGACAGTGACTTGTACCCTGTGACTTGCGAGATCTGTCTGTCACCGGTGGACATCTCGGACCCCTGCAACTCAGTGGTTAATCTGTCCTGTAACCATTGTACATGCTACGCCTGTTGGCTAGACTACATGAGAGTGCACGTGACCAAAGAGAGAAAGTGCACCGTGGAATGTCCGGTGTATCAGTGTGAACAAATTCTGTCCTCATACAAGGTACAAATAAATGATCGGTTTTGGAATAAGAATATTTCGCGCTCCTATGCTATCGATTTTTGCTTGGCGAAAAGTTTGTTTACATATTTGAATTTCGAGAATCATGTCAATATGAAAAAATTCCTGATCAATAACACGTTCTCAATAACAAATCGGTCGTACTTGGAAAATTTTGTCAGATATCAATCATGAACTGATAATTCTATCTAATTTTTATTAGACATAAATTTTTTGGCAATTTTTAAGGAAGCTGTAAAATTGGTTATCCATGAGACTGGGTTTGTCAAATTTATTGCTGTTGCTTTTTTTTTGTGGTGAATAAATATCTAGAAGCTTCATGATCAATTATATTTTGTTAGGTTGAGAAGCTCATCAGATCCCAAATGGACTTCGAATCTGGTGGTGGAGACTCCTCAATGTCGACTGTATCTGTGATGCAAGATGTCCACAATTTGATCAGACTGTTAGAAGAGAACAGAATAGAGAGATTTGTGGAGCTGTATGAGGGGATGAAGTGGTGTCCAAATGCCAACTGTTCCTTAGCTGTCAAACTGCCAAAGTTCTTGTCCAGAAGGCCGGTAAGTGTTTGTTTCAATAGGAACTCTTTTTGCTAGTCTATTTACATATACAAACTGGTTCCTTTTTCAGTCTTAGCTTAAATGATACACAATCATGGGACAAAGAAGTTCCAAGTTTTAGTTTGAAACAATGAAATGAGGAAGCTCACGTTTTATTTGTCATTATTTGTGTAACTACTTGAAATTCAGTGCTGAAAGGCTGACATATGATTAATGAAACTATTTTAAAACTCTTGTCTTATCAAACATATGATTGTGTCTAATCATTTCAAATTCATTCATACTCAAATTCGTTTTTAGTTTTCTTTCGAGCTAACTTCAAATTCAATTGCTAAACGGGAAGGCAAATTTCATATTCAGATAACAAAAACGCTAATGACGGGAAGGAATGCGCTTGATCATTTGTTTCCATTTTTAAATTGCCTTTTGATCAAAGACTCATGTTTGTTGAGTTCATTGAAAAAGGTTCAATCGTAGTACGTTCTTGGTTCGGAAAGCTTCATGGTTATAACACATGCACATGCTTGTGGTATGATACGAATTCGCTTTTTTCCAATCGAAGTTCACAAATTTTTGTTCAACTTTTGTGTTTAGTTTTAGTATCGCGTACTGCTCAATTTCCATTTGGCGATTTAAAAAAATAGTCACTATTTAAACCGCATTCATTACTGCCTGGTATTTGATACTAGAGCGTGTGAACTTTTGATGACGATAAAGCGATTGGTGCAAATGTCAAAGAATATGATTTGTTTTATAGCTTCCCGTGATTTAAACTCCGTAGTTGGCTATTCTATTCTAGAGTCAATGAACCTAGTGAAGACTCTTATATAGGTATGATTTTTGTGTTTTTCAGGAAAAAGTCAAAGTTTGAAAGTTTGTTAACTGTAACATTTGATTTTTTGTTACAGTTTGAATTTTAAAGTTCAGTTAGTTTCCTTTCCTTTGATGAAGGCAAACTCCACCATCGAACAGCAAAAGTGTAAAGGTCACAAAAATGTGATTGAATTCTATTTTGGAAATTGGATATTAATTTTCAGATTTCTCAGCGGAATAAAAAGTTTATCTATTGATCCAGTATATTCAAATTGGGTTAGTTATATCAAAAACAAGGGCAATCATATTTTGTTCTTGAAATTCAAGGAACTTTAAGGCCATATATAAGTGCTTGAAGTTTCTCCGAAAATTAAGTCTGTTTTTTTTTTCTGTTTTCTTGCATTTATTGGCTCTTTTCCAGCTTTATGTTGTATACGTTCCTTTTTTTAACGAAACAAATTTGTTTTCAGTATATTTTGCAATCATTTGGTTGCGTTTTTGGTATCTATCGAAACAATGCCAATTAATTAGCATCTGTAGCTGATTTATTGGTGGTAAAGTTCAATAGCAACTGTAGCTGCTGTATTGACAGCTACTGTTCATGATTTTCAAGCAATCGTGGCGCAAATGCGAGGAATTGTGAATTCAATCTTCCGGTCGGAGCAAGATTTCGGCTCATAGCAAACAAAAATTGACTATTTTTTTGGCTCAACATTGCTGGCTTTGTTACAGCTTTGTTTTTGCTTTGTTATTGCTGGCTTTATTACAGCTTTGTAAGTTATATTTCAATGCTCAAATTAACCTTCAATTTACTTCCTTGGCATGTTTTCTTTAGAAGGAACTTGATTCAAGACAAAATCAAGACAAATCTAAAAAAATTCGTTTAATAATTTTTCATGTTTCGATTTTGCGGTTTTCGTCTCATTTTCTGTCTGCTAGTTCACCATGCTGCTTTTTTGTTTTATCCTAAATGTTGAAAAGCTTGTGTTAGCGAAGTGCTGCTTCGCCTCTCTGACAAAGCTGCTTTTGTGTCCAGACTTACTTTTTGCACTTTTTAAAATACTTTCATGCTCATTTTTGCCTGTGTTTCTTTTTTTGTTTGCTGTTTTTAAAACATACTTTAATTTTTTTTAAGATTTGTGCGCCACAAGAGATTGTTATAAATAAGTGCGCAAAATTTGAGACACTCATTTTGGTCGTTTTTTTCACAGCAGAAGATCTTTCAGGCTCAAATTTGTTTTTCGCTTTTCGTCGTAAGTGATTTGATGTCAAGATGAATTCGAATTCAAATTCACTTGACAAAAGTATGTAAAATTACGTTTTTCAATAACGGAAGCGCAGTTGATGAAAAAAACGTATGACTTAATTTCGAAAGTGTCTCCGCAAGTTACTCATTTATCTTTCGGAATGGTGTTCTCAAATTGGGTAAGTGTTATCAAAAAAGAGACTTAAAAGTTTCTTGAAAATCAAAGAGCTCCAAGGCGATATGTTTTTTCTATATATAAGGAAATGAGTCTTCACTTTTTTCTAACCCAAGTCGCATAAGCTAGTGCCTCCTTCTCATAAAAGCCAAATCTGTATTCTTGGCGGGTATTTGGATGACAGTATACTCATATAGCTCAACTGCTAAGGTAATATTCGGTAGGTGCAATTCCCTTAGTGTTTTTTCTCGTTTTTCATTTACTTTCTTTTGCTTATTATTTAATTTTATTTTGCTATTTAAAAGCTCCCATGAGCCGTTTTTCGTTGTTTTGAAGTGCAGTTTCTCCAGAAGGAAATTTTCCCAATAACTGATTCTTTCAATTTGGTTTTCTAGAGTTCGTTGACACTTTTACGACTGTCTATTGTCTTTATTAAGAGTCGATGAATGTATTTTAATAACTTATTTTTGGACCGTGATGATTTAGTCTTGTTTTTTTTTCAGGAAAAATCCTAAAATTTGTCCAGTCATAGATTTATATTTTCTTGCGGTTTGACTTTTATTTTAAAGTTTAGTTCATATGTTATACCAGGGGCGGATCTAAGATTTTCTCGAAGTGGGCGGATTTTCACAAAATTTTTCAAAATTTTGACGACTTTTTTTTAGGTCGACCAAATTGATTTTTCGAGCTCTCCCCAAGCACTGTTTTGCCCCCACTTTGGCTAAATTTTCTGCGCCGCAGGCAAGTTTTTGAAAAACAGTCAAAAAATTTTTGACAAAAAATAGCGTTTTTTTTTTGGCGCGCGCTCCCCCTCAAAGTTAGTATATATTGGCGCCTTTAGAAAAATTTTAGGGTCGGTCGGCAAAAAATGGATTTCTGAAAAAGTATCAAAATGGGGACCCTTTGGGTCGGCAGGGGGTCGAATACCTGAGGAGGGGGGGGGGGGACGCATTGATCCAATTTGCGTATTGATCCAATTTTCTCAAATTAGTTCATTTTGTCTAAAAGTTTCAGTTAAAAATTGTTCTTGAATTTCAAAGAGCTTAAAGACCAACTATTTTTCTTCGAAATTTGAAAATTCAGAGTCAGTATATGTTTTTTTGTTTATTTGCGTTCATTGAGTCTTCCAACTGTCTGTTGGCAATGTTTTGTTTAGTATCTTTGAATATACGCTTAGTTATCTATACGCTTAATTAAAGCACTGTCACTGTTGTCTGTATGTCTTAATTAGTCCCGTCTTTACGTAACATGTGTATAAATTGTGTTTTGTTTTTGCAGTTTTTTTCACTTGTTTAGGAAGTGCAGGTTCGTATCTGTTCTCGGCAGCGCAGTTCTCTCGCTAGCGTAAATTTAATTAAATTTTGAAATCCGCGAAAAGAAAGAGCATTCATTTCTGCCTGTTACTCACAGCAACCATGTTTCTTTTAACTCTGTAGTCTAGGAGTAGAATGTTTTAGATTTTGAAGCCGCAGGCTTGTTTGCATCTCGCATGGTGCAAATTCAGCTTTTGAATGTTGACTTTTGTTAGTTTTTAAAGCTTTTTGTCGCTATTTTCTGACTAATGATTGCAAACTGCAGCTAAACCTACGGTTATGACTACCTTTTCATCCAAATTAGAAGCGATCTTGAAGCGATTATTTTCAGAGTGTCTAAATAGTTTTTATGGTTCTCAAAACAAATGATTCGATAGCTGATGGCGTCAACACTGATTCACGTGTTCTAATTCTCTGGCTGAATAAAAATTGCAAGTGGTGCCGGATGAATCAATTGCGGTCGCTAGTTGTCATTGACTTGTGATTACTTTTGTCGGTCGAGCAATGACGGTCGCAGGGCAATTTATCTTTTTCCGACCTCACCTATTCAGTTTTACCATATAGCATTTTACCCTATGTACCAATTTAACCTACGCCATTTGAACCTGCGCCAAATTACCCCACAGTTAAATTTTATCCTTTATCAAATCAAGTGTTATGAAAGTGTCAATTCTTTTGAGTTCTACTAAATAGACTCATAATTTGGCTCGGTTAATCATCTCAGCACTTTGTGGACTCGATTGAAGATTTTGATCCACAAAAAAAAACATTTAACACAATTAGCAGTTATAAATCCCAAATATCAATAAGTAAAAAGAAATTGAACTAAAAAATTGAATCTTTTTATTTGTTGCAGTTCTATACCCGATGAGTCAAATACACAACAATACTATGCAAGTTGCCATCTACACAACGACCCCGGAAAAACAGTACTCGATACTGCTAACCCCTTCCACAGATATATAAAACCTTCCTTCAAAATCTCCGTCTATTGTTTTTTTTTAACAATCTCAACTTAAACTGTCCCCCTCCAAATACTCAGTAGCTCTATTCTCACTCGACTAAAAAGACTACAAAACTCACCCTGAGTCCAAATCCAGAACACTTTGCTCCCAATGGACCACAACTCCACAATCTTAGGATTCAATTTCGTCCATTCATGAAATACCCACTACACTGCAAGGCACAAGCTACTAAAAGCAAGTAGCGTACCTCGGTCCTGAAAGCGCTAGCTGGCACCCCCTGGGGAAAAAAGGAAATGCTTCTAATTACGCACAAATCTATGGTTAGACCAGTCCTAGAATACGCTTCCTCAGCGTGGTCACACGCAGCAAGCCCTACCGGCATTCAAAGACTACAGACTGTACGAAACGCCGCACTGTAACTCGATTCACCAAAATGACCAAAATCGATCACATACATAATGAATGCCTTATCTTTCCCGTACCATACCGCAAGAAACTATTTTTCTTCCAATACTATGCAAGTTGCCATCTACTCAACAACCCCGAAAAAACAGTACTCTATACTACCAACCCCTTCCACAGACATATAAAACCCTCCTTCAAAATCTACAATGCAAGATGCCTGACTTGATCTGCCCTAATGAATATATAATCATGAGAGCCAAATTCCATTTTCACAAAAATACTCCAAATACGACTGGTTTCGAACTAGATTGAAACTGTCTCCATACTTCAAACACGACAGAATACTCACCGAAAACCTGCCACTAATCTCCTCAATTGAATTACCACTGAGTCGCAAAACTTGTTCCAGATTAGCTCAACTACGCTCGGGCTGCTCCCCCCCACTTCATTCCTATCTCAACAGACTTGACCCAAATCTCCCCCCAACGAATGTCTAAAGTGCTTCAACACCGCACACGAACCACTTCTTTCAATGTCCCCAAAACCCTACTACACAATACGTTTTCACTCTGGTCTAATCCTGTCGAAGCTGCTGCCTTCTTCGGGTTGGATCAGCTTTCAAACAACTCAGTCGATCTTGGTCTTGTTGGCCAGCCCTGTCGAATCATCACTGACTCATAGCTTCGGCTATGAAGCCAAAACCGTTCCTCTCTCTGGTGTTCCGCAGATACGGTATATACGAAATCAGACACCACATCCATAGCTTTGCTATCCTCTACCCGAAACGGGCGCCGAAATCAGAATCACGAGACGCCTCAGTTAATGGAATGACATTCTTCCATTGGAAGTACTGAAAACAACCAAAACTAAGAAATCAACCTTCCCTGAAGGACTGAACTAACGAGTTAACAATTCTATACGAAAACGACAACAATTTTTAACAAAATTGGTCCGAAATGACGAAAGTTTATACTTAGTCCCTCGAAAAGGCAACAACAAGCACGAAATATAATAAACAAAATGAAAAACAAAAACACAGCGAATAAAATCAAATGCAAAATCTACTAGTGTGAGTAGGTGTAACAAATTTTAAATATTCATGAAAAATGCCGTAATCGACAGGAAGCTGGTTTGAAAGGCAATGCCTTGGTTAATTTCTGGTGAATGCGCATTGAAGAAAAATTTCCTTTGAAACATACCCGGTTTGACCAAAATTTATCATTTAATTTGCTTATATGAAAAAAGATATATACAATTCGATGTAATTCCATACGTACAGGAAAATATTTGAATTTGCGAAACTATTTTCCATACATGAAAATTTCATGAAAAGCTTTTTCATAAATCTGAAAAATATGAGCTTTGCGAAAACGTTTTTTTTTTCGAAAACAAAATAACCGAGGATTTTCTGAGATAGACAAAACATCTCCAAATACGGACTATATCTGAGATTTCTTCCCCTCGACCAATGGGTTTTTTTTATCTCAGAGATAAACCGTATTTGGAGATAGTTTGTCTGGGATAATTTTCCATAATTCACTCCGAACTATTAATATGAACTACAATTTTGTATATGGCTAGACAGTTTTTAGTCAAAAAGTTGGCTTTTCCAGAATTAAATATTTTGTCAATTGTTTTTTTTTGTATGAAATTGCGAAAAATTCAGCTTGGACTACGCTAAAGACAAAAATAACTAATTGAGCATAATATCTGCAAGTAGTTTTTTCTCGAAAATGTTTATTGAGCATAATGAGTATAAAAGTTATGTTGCGACAAAAATTAGAAAAAATTGGTCCGGATTTTATACTTGGGAATTTTGTTTGCAGCAATCTAAAAATATCTTTCACTTTTTATATATATAAGTTACATTTTAAGCGTTTTTTTCCGTACGTTGTGTATGGAATGGTATGATAAGCTTTTTTGTTCCGACCATTTGAAAAATGGGAACGAACTTTGTATTTTTCTTTTTTTTATTGCCACTCAAAATTAGCTACCACAAAAATTTATTCGAGTAAGTTAAAGATATATCATAATGCAGCCTTTTCAGTCGTGATTTGAACGACCTTAAATATTTTCCAAAAAATTTCCCAGTGTCGAGAAAAACCGGTTTGAAATTTTTAATTATTCGTCTAATTTGAGCGAGTAAAGCGAGTGAGCAGGCTTACGATAGCTTAATTTAGTACCCTAAAAGATTGCAATAGCTTAATTTAAGCCGTTAAAATGTAATTTCTCTGGAGTAAAATTAGGTTTTTCGAGTATATCAGCGCCTTTTTGCTATCAAAAATTTTGCACAAAATTTTGATTTTTTCTGTCAGTTTTTCTTCGTGGTGTGATAAAAGGATCTGAACGAAAATCTAGAGCCTAGAAGCACTCGACACGCATGGTAAAATATGCAATTTTGAAAACAATGCTTATAGAAAAATTTTATACAAGAAACAAGGATACCCGATTACTGAGCGAATGTCACAGAATGTTCCTACCATATCAAAAAAGACAACAAAAAAGTTTTTTTTCCAATTATGGTCGGAACATTCTGTACTACTCGCTCAGTAACCGGGTATCCTTATTTTTTGTACAAATTGTATTATAAGCATTTTTTTATCTACGGATTTCAACCCGGATAGTTAACAGGGAGCGGGAGAAACAGTAAAATTTTGGTGGCCAAAAAATTAAACAAAAATTAATTACAAATACTTTCCAATTTCGTTTTGCAAACGCAAAAACCCCTCCATCTTTATTTTCTGACAACTGCAGTTTTTGCTTCAATACTAAATTTTTTTTGACCTAACAGGATTTTGTCCGCGCATGAACGAATTTGGCGGGATTTTTCATCACACACTCCAGTTCATGATTCTTCTGAAAAATTTGTTAATGTTTTGTGAGACACTGTGCGCTCAAAGCAATTTCGCTTCATGGCGCTTTCTGACCGGTATAGCAAGGTTTTCTAAAGTATTTTGGTGGATTTGCTCGAGAGTTTGTTTGGGGGTCTATTTTGACTCCGTGTTATATACCGTGTATATACCGTGTTAATTGAACCTCAGTCGAGAGATTGGTATAACATAATTTGACTTTTTTCTACCGTTTTCTTCTACAATGCGTATTGTGAACACCAAATGGGATTAAATTTTAGCTGGTTAGGTGATCGCTAGCAATGAGTGATCATGGTAAGCCCTACTGTTTAATATTTGAGGTTAACAAAATGCGAGGTAAATTGCTAAAAGTGATCCCAATATGTTCAAGCGGTTGGCGAGTTAATAGCCGCAACAGCTGAAATTGTGACTGTGTTAATTTTAGTGTGTAAATTACTTCTACTCTTTGGCCTCTGACACAACATCGCCGCCCTCATCGAAATTGACCGAAAGCGTCAAAAGAAAAACACCGACTGAATCTAGTGCAGAAACAGTCACGAACAATGGGCCGAGCCTGGACTCGAACTCTATTCGTGGTAATACTGGTGTGTCAGCTTCTTCAGCGTCTAAACAGACCGACAGTGAAGCAGCAATTTGTACAGCATCGACATCATCTTCCACCAGAAGTAAGATTTTGAGGGAAAATAGTAGATAATCTTAATGGGTTTAATCTCAAAGCATCTGTGGTAAATTCAGTTGAGACCTTCGTTTCCCCTGCTTACTGTTTTTCTCCTGATCATTTTTCCTTTGACCAGATATTAGTATTAATTTCAGAGGATATAGATTATTCGGATCTTTCATCAAAGGTTTTGGCATGCCTACAGATAGCTCATCTGAATTAGTTGAGTTTAATCGATGAGTTCTTATGTGTTCGGCGGAAGTTTTTCAGTGCCTCAATGCCAAAGTTTGAGTATGAAAACGTGACATTAATAGTGAAAGCAATTTTGGTGAGGCTGTGATAGATATGAATTTTTGGCTACTGTATATGTTGCAGAGTCGTCTTCTGGGAAGGAGAAAAGGAGTGGAAGTAAGAAAAAGGGGGTCTCTAAGAAGGAGGCGGAGCTGCAGGTGATTCCCGAAGATCAGATCTCGTCAGTGTCTGTGATGTGTGGCAATGAGCACTACTTCTGCTGGAACTGTAGAAACGAGGGACACCAGCCGGCCTCTTGTGACCACTGGAACATGTGGTTCGAGAAGATCGAACAAGTCAAACCAAATCAGGTGACCGAATCAAGTCTTACGCATCATCACATGCACTCTCCCAAATCAGAATGTTTCTTCCTCCAAATTTCGTTATGGTGGTTTTGGAGAGCTCGGCACATCAATTTGTTCGACCTAAAAAGGTTGCCAAAGAATTTTTTGAAAATTACCTTTCTCCCTTGAAAAAATACTGGATCCGTCCATGTGGGCAAGTTAACAGTTTAAATGTATTGAAAAAGTGCATGATTTTTAATGGTATGTAAAAATTGCTACAAATCATTGTTAGTTTTTGACACTAGAAAGGAACTTCTTTGAAGCAACCAACTTATCTATTTATTTTTGATGGAACTTGATACACTTATGACTGAGTTTGAATGTTTGTGATTGAATTTCAATGTTTGTGCATCGAAAAAAAAAGCGTTGCGTTTGTACCGTGTTGTAGATGGGTACGAAGGATATCTGGGAGAGTGCGGAATATGCTGCCAACTACCTCTGGTTTTTCACCCAGAGCAAAAAGTGTCCTAAATGCAGTGCCCCAATTCAGAAGATAGATGGCTGCAACCACATGAAATGCGTGGCCAAAGGGTGTCGCCACGAGTTCTGCTGGATTTGTCTGACTTCGTGGTCCAAACACGGAAGTGCCACTGGCGGATTCTGGAGGTGCAATAGGTTCCAGACCAGCAAAGACACAACTGTCGCAGAAACTCAAGCCTCCGAGGCCTCTCAGAACCCGCAGACATCGGCAGATCCCGCTGCAACCGGTGAAGTTTCAGATAACTCACATCTATCGACGAACTCAATTCCAGCCATCTCTCCAGCCGCTAAAATTGTGCCACATAAATCAAATTCTAAAAGTATTAGCAGTAGTGACCAACAGAAAAAGTCAAAGTCAGTCTTGACAGTTTCGAATTCCAATCAGTCAAATAGCTCATCGCGATCTACAGCAAGTGAGAACAGATTAGATCCAAGAGAAAGAGCATCGTCATTTTTATCATCACCTTCCAAAGCATCAACCGGTTCTTCGGGAAAGAAGAAAAAAGTAGTTAATGCACTTGCAGCAACTAGACCTACTAGTAGTAGTAGTTCAAGTAGTGTTGCCACGCCTCATGTCAATAGCAGTTCAAATGGTGCCGCTACTTCCTCAAGTGGAAGTAGAACAACAACAGCGACTTCAAATGCGGCTCAGAATCAGAATATTAGCAATAAAGATGCTACAGCTCGACTAAATGACCTGAACAAATTTCTCCATTACTACTCGAGGTTCTTCAACCACAGACTATCAATGAAATTGGAGTTGCCACTGTTAGACCAGGTGAATATCAAATACTCGATCAGAGAGCACACTAGTTTAGTTGAGTACACTTCAAATTTCGATTTTTATGACACATCACGTGAGGTTAGTTGGTGGTCTGAGTTGCTATCAAGCACGTATTATGCGTACCGCTCTAATGTTTAACGTTTATCTTGGATCTTTTTCGTTTAGGCGCGCCAGAAGATCTCGTCTCTTCTGAAGTGCTATGAGAGTGGTCCTGGCGATGACGCGGGGGCGAAGATGGCGGTGTCGAAGTGTGACAGCTTCACTGGGGATGACGAGGAGTCGATTGAGCGACAGAAAAGACTGACGTTCTTGGAGACCGCAATCAAGGAACTCATTCTTACTAGAAAGGTAGTCAACAGAAATTAACTTTTCCTGAGTTAGCTCTTTTTATCGCTGTTTTTGTCGCTCTTTAAGAGTCGTTGAACGTAGTTCAGACTCTTATATAGGCCGTGTTGATATTTCGTGTTTTTTCTTCCATGAATAGTCTTAAAATTTGTCCAGGCTCGAATTTACTTTTTCGAGGTTTGACTTTTGATTTCTTTTCAAGTTTCTAAGCAAACTCCATTTTCCAAGAGCGAATGTGTACAGGTCACGAAAAATTTGATAAACTTTTAGTTTCGAAAGTTTATTTTTATGTTGAGATTTGCCAGCGGAATTGAAAATTGTCCAGATTTCTCAAATTGGGTTAATTTTATCAAAAAGGTGGCAATCATAATTTGTTCTAGAACTTCGAAGAAATTTAAGGGCATCAAATTTTTTCTTTGAAATGCGAAAGTTGAGATTTTTTTTTCAAAAAAAAAACAAGTCAGTTTTTTTTCTGTTTTGCTATCATTACTCTTTCCCATTCGTCATATCTCTTTTATAGGTCGTGTTGATGTTTTGCGTTTTTCTGCCAGAAAATTTTTTTCAAATACGTTCTGGCTCAAATTTACCTTTGTTAAACGGGGTAAAAGTTGATCGGCTTCTAGTTTCGAATTTATTTTTTAGATTTCCCAGCGAAATATACACTTTACTTATTGACCCAGCTTTCTCAAATGTGGTTAGTTTTGTCAAAAAAGCGTTAACCATGAATTGTTTTTGAAATTCAATCAAAGAGCTTTAACGCATTATTTTTTAAATTTGTTTTTGAAATGTGAAGTTTTTTCAAAAAACAAGTCAGTTTTTTCTGTTTACTTGCATTCATCGTTTTTTTTTACCAACTGAATGTTGGCTATGTTTTATGATTTATCGGGTGAGCGGTTTTATCTATCGAACAAATAGCAATAAAATGAATAATTGGGTACTATCTTTGCAAATTTATTTTGCGTTGACCTGAATCATGTTATGAGTAGTCGAAAACAATTAGTTGAATTGGATTTGGAATCTATAACAAAACAGCAGTTTCGTGTTTTGTAGGTGCTGAGCGCTTCGTATGTGTTTGCCTACTATCTGAGCGACTGTCACCACCAGAATGTGAGATCACTCTTCGAGTTCATCCAGAATGACCTTGAAGAAACAGTGGAGAATCTAGCACAGATTGTGAACCGGTACACATCATACAATTGCTCGAAATCGTTTTTAAATCATACCTCAGCTGTTTTTACTATCTAAAACTAGTCAGGGATTTTTTCTACTATTTATCAAAACTAGAAGAAGCGGTTGTTCTTAAACCACCATTTTATTTTCCTTGTCATTTTTATACCCTGAAAATAATGGTTTCTGCTTTGAATAAGAGTAATGAACGTAGTGAAGACTCTTATATAGGTCTTGCTGATTTGTTTTTTTTCAGGAAAAAGTCTTAAAATTTTTTCACGCTCAATTTTGATTTTTCGCGGTTTGACTTGTGATTTCTTTTTAAGTTCAGTGCATTTCTATTGTTAAAAGGAAGGCAAACTCCACTATCGAACAGCAAAATTGTAAAGGTCACGAAAAACGTGATCGCTTTCTAATTTTGAAAATTGAAATAATTATCAGATTTCCCAGCGAAATAAAAGATTTACCTATTGATCAAGTTTTCTCAAATTGGGTTAATTATCACAAAAAAGTGTCCATCATAAATTGTTCCAGAAATTCAAAAAGCTTCAAGGCCATCTCTTTTTTTTTCTTCAAAATTCAAAATTTGAAGGCTCTTGAAAAAAACAAGTTACTCTTTTCCTACTGGCAGTTGGCTATGTTAAGATGGTTCGGTTGGGCCAAGATAAAGTAAGCGAATGCTTTACATTTTGGATTAAAGTTTTTATTAATTCTTCAGTGTTATCGTGGTATTTATTGGGTGACCGGAACCCGTATTGGAATTTTGATAGTTTACATATCTTAATAAGTTCTTGTGTTTTTAATGAACAGGTTCATGTTGTTTGGCAATGCGTGTTCATTTGTTTAATTTTGCAGACAACATCTGAGTGCACCTTGGTTCCTGGTTGAGAAAGCACAGCTGATTGTGAAGAAGAAGAGGTACGAGTTGTTGGATGCCACCACCAGAGGCATCCTCCCCTCAGACACCTCCCCCATATTCAAGCGCAAGAGGAAGACATTCCAGGGGGTGCAGGTAGGACTCTGCTGCTGTTCATGCACCTCTTTTGTTTCGAGGATTTGTAATACGAGGCTTTGAAAAAAGAGCGGATTGAATGAAATCACGGAAGATGCATCCGCTATTTTGAAAGAATGAGCAGGGTAAAAAAACGTCTGTTGAAATGAAACTCAATTCACGGCTGGCATTGAGTTTCATTTGAACAAGCGCTTTGACTCCGCTTTTTTAAATTTGTATCCACTATTTTCGAAGAAAAAAATGGGGGCAAAACGTCTGTTGAAATGAAACAAAATGCCACACGCGCATTGAGTTTCATTCGAACACGTTTTGATAAGATTCGGGTAAATTCAACGTGTTTTCATTCGACGCACTCTTTTTTAAAAGTATCGCATTGAAATATAAATAGTTATTTTTTTTGGTATCTTGTGTCACATATTTTTTAATTGAGATCTCTAGAAAATAGCTTCAAATTTCAAATGCTTTTCATTGTACCGGAGCTCTAGTTACTAATTTGTTTTGTACTTAGGGTAGAAAGTCTCTTTTCTCTGTAACTAATTGGTACTAGGGCTACTTCTTACTCTAAATAATTTTGCAAGATACCATAAATATGAAAAATGAGCTGTAATTTGGCCTCGAAATGCTTTCTTTAACAATCATTAAAAATGATCTTGGCGGTTTCTTTTCCCCAGGTGTGTCTGGACCCCCTGAAGATGAACATGTCTGAGAGACAGGCAGTGATGACGTCACTGTATGAGATGGTGGTGGATGGGGACGGGTGGCTGGTCGACTCCACCGGGTGCCACAACAACATCCCAATGCTCTATGGCCACGAGGACTTCTATGACCTCGGAATGCCTCAAAAAGGAAGCCATACAATGGTGAATGGGTCCAAGAGTGAAGCACCAGGAAAGGTTAAAAAGAAAGACCAGATAGTGAATAATGCGCCGACGGAGTTCAAGCCTTGTGCGCGAGAAGCGTGTAATAGGCGGGTGTCTGTCCCGGGAAAGTTGATGAATAAAAAGAGGAGTGGAGTGTTGGGGATGTTGGCCAAGCAGAAACTCTCGGATCCGATGATGCATATGAAGGGCCAGTACAAAAATCTGTTCGAAAGCAAACAGAATGGTGCTCAGATTTTCTGCAGGTAAACTGCGAAGTTATATATAAGTATTTTTTGTTATTTACACTGGCCAGCTTGTGAGAGTAGTGTATAAGTACGACCCTTCTTTTTTTCCAACCTAACTCGCAAATAAAAGTTCATTCACAAATAAAAGTTCATTGAAAATGTTCATTTGTTTCAATAAAAGTTCATTAAAAATGTTCTATAATCACGATCTGTAGCATTAGAATTTTCATAGCATTTACTTTTTCGCGGTTTGGTTTTTGATTTTTTTTCAAATTTTTTTTCTTTTTTTTAAAATAAAAACGAATACAAACTCCACTACCGAACAGCAAAAAAAGTAAAGGCCACGAAAAACGTGATCGACTTCTAGTTTCGAAAGTGGAATTTAATTTTCAGATTTTCCAGCGAAATAAAATTTTTAATTTTTGATCCAGTTTTCTCGAATTGGGCTGATTTAATTAAAAAGGTGTCAATCATAAATCCTTCTAGATATTGAACGAGCTTTAAAGCAACTAATTTTGTCTTTGAAATTTTGAGTTTTTTTACAAAAACAAGTCAGTGTTTTTCTTTGTTTACTTAAGCTCATTGCCTTTTTTTCCAACTATCAGTTGGCTATGTTCGAAGGTTTTTTAAATTTTCCCAAATTTAGTCAAATAGTTCAAAAGATTAGTAGCCATCGCAATATATGACCCAATTATTTCAGTTTTTATGCAATTGATAGTGTGGAGACAAATTAGAGCAATTCAAATGAATGAGTTAGGTTCCATAAAGTCAATCTTCATTTTATAATGTAACTTTCCAAGAAATAAGAAAGATAATAATTACTATTAAAAATTCAATTGAAGTCTGAATCGGTTGTTTTCAAAAAAATTATTAACTCTTACGTACCCAATGTTTCTTTATCCAACCTTTTTTGAACTCAGAGGTGTGGACGTTGTCATTTTCATTATTTCTTTGTTTCACCTGTTATTCATCATCCTATTGAAAACGTTTCAGCTATGGTAGAGATCATAACCGCTTTTATGTGATGTTGACTTTAGTCTGGCTTGCATGAGGCGCGAGAAGCTGGACTCCCTGGAGAACTCCGGCTTCACAGTCACTGGCCAAAAGAGTTCAACTGTCAGTCTGTCCCAGTCTGTGAACATCAAGCCATGTCTGGACAACGAATTCCCGCCAGTGTTTCTGGACAACGAGAAACTGGACAGAAAGAGACGCGAAATTGTGCGTAAGAACTTTGCAAAACAAGACGAAGAAATGATACACGGAACCTCTTCGGAGCAAAATTTGAAACGAGCAGGGTTACAGAAGGAAAACGAGCCAATGTCTTTGCCTGCTTCGCCGCATGTTGGAGACAAAACTTTCAGAGAACAATACAAGATAGATGACTCACATCTTATTCAGTGCTGTTCGTCCACTGCGGCTTAGAAGAGGAAATCGCAGAAGGAATCCATAACTAACTTAAAAGCTAATCGTAAACTGACAGATAATTTTTATTTTCCGTTTAAACGACTCCAATTGTTAGAATCTACTGTTAAATAAGTAGAAAAGTAGTATCATGTGGATAGACAAAATGTTTTGTTGAATAATTTACCAATGATTTTACCAATTTTAATTGAATGGTTAATTTATCCATTTGTGCTATATTTACTTTGAAAAGCAATTATATCCCTAGCTGTGCAATAACTAAATAAATATTTAATTTTGTCTCGTTTTCACAGCAAACATTTCAGAAGCCTGCTCGTAATTTGGTGAAACACTACATGGCCCAACGTTACATGCCTGGTGAAGTTAAGCGTTTTTTTATTTTGTACGGGAAATTAGCTCTAGGTTGTTGCTTTCGAATTTTTTTTCCATCAAATAGCCAGACTAAACAGTAAAAAAGACATCAAAAAAGGAAGCACGCGACTTGGGTTGCAAAAATGAACTAGTAATATAACACAAGTGTTTGCTTGTACAATATTACGAGTTCATGTTTGCAACCCATCTTGATGCCTTTTTTACTGTACAAACGGGCTATTTACTAGCATCTTTTATCGGCGTCATTGTTGACTAGTGATAGAGATTATCTGGGCACAGTTGTATAACAAGAAAATATAAATCTGAAGGTCGAATTCCGCAGATGGTCGAAAGTTTTTTATCTTTCAAACGTATTACCTATGCAAGCTTCCGAGCATTGTGTTTTAATACGAGTCAGCTTTTTTTACAATTCAACTCGCAAATAAAAAAAGCATAGTTCAGACTCTTTATATAGTCCGTAATGATTTTTTTCTTTCCTTTTTTGAAAGTGTTAAAGTTTGTTCAGGCCCAAATTTATACTTTTTTTGCAGTTTGACTTTTTTTATTAAGTTCAGCTCAGTTCCTCTGTTAAAAGGAAGCAAACTCTACTATCGAACAGAAAAATGTAAAGGTAACGAAGAACGTGATTGAATTATAGTTTCCAAAAGGAATTTAACTATCAGATTTCCCAGCCTACAACAAATTTTATCTATTCAACCCAGTGTTTTCAAAATGGGTTAATGTAATCAAAAATGTGTCAATTATAAATTTAATGCGCATATACAGGTCTTGGACTGTTTTATATGTTTGTTTTTATAGCAAAAAGTTTTTAAAATTGGTCAGTCAAATTTATTTTTTCGCTTTTTGACTTTTTATTTTTTAAGTTATGTTCATTTTTTTGTTAAAAGGAAAGCAAACTTCCTTATCGAACAGCAAAAGTTTAAAGATCACAAAATTGTGATTGACTTTTAGTTTCAAACTTGGATTTTAATTTTTAGATTTCCCAGAGGAATAAAGTTTACGTATTCATCCAGTTTTCTGTAATCAAGTTAATTCTATCAGCAGTGTGTCAATAATAAATTGTGCTAGAAATTCAAAGAGCTTCAAGATCATTTTTTTCTTGGAAGCTCAAAAATGGAGATTTTTTTTTCAAAAAAACAATCAGTACTTGTTCTGTTTTCTTGCGTTCATTGGCTCTTTTCCAACTGTCTGTTGCTTTTTTGTTTTTTAAAAGATTTTTAAATTTGATGACTCTGAAAAATTCTGGAGAAATTTGTGAATACATGAGCTGATTCAGTCTTTGGAAAATGTTTGTTGCATGTACTTTTAACTTTTGGAGATAGAGGTTATTCTAATTCGTGGACAGCAATTGAGACTATCAGCTGACCATTTTTCGAGAAAATGGAATTTTTTATTCCTAAGTTGCTTTTGATTTAGAACCTAATTTATTCTTCGTTGATCGCTCTGTATTGTTGATTATCGGACCCACTGGAGTAGCATAATGTTCCTCGTCTGAAAAAAAATTGTAATTCATAAAAAACCAGTTTCTTGCTCCGTTGTCTTTACTTTTGATTTGTTGATTTTTTAAATTGTTTCTAAATGCCACGTAATTTCAAACATTAAAACTAATAATAAAATTTTGCTTCAATTTGAATCTGAAAACAATTTTTATAATCCATTTTATATATTTTAATTTTGTCCATATTTGTATAATTTTCAATCATCAATTGGTTTTCCGTATATATTTTTGTTTGTTTGGTTTCTGGTATTTGGTTGATGTCACATATAAACACATTTTTATAGGTAGGTTTTATTGAAGTTTGAATGAGATATTAGTAAAAACTTCAGTTTAAATCAAAAGTATTCTTTTCGGTATAAGTCTCGAATATATACTGTGTTTTCCCGTCTCAAACTTTTGAGCTGTTTAAATTGGAAAACTTTATACGTTGGTAAGAATTGCAGTTAAATTGTGAGTAAAATCGTGCGGAAACGTCTTGATGAGGCGCTTGACTTGAATAAAAATATAAGTTTTTGATAAAGGTTTCTCTTAAACCTCATCAAATTTTCAAGCTGTTTGTTGTTATCCATGGTTAAAATTGAGAGTTTAATTTTTGTGTACCTAATTTTATAAACTCAGCTTTTTGAAACAATTAATTATTTGTTTTACAAAAATTGTTAGAAGCGACTGCATACTCTCAGCCTAGTGTTGATTTACTGAATTTTAAAGTTATGGTCGAAAATTGATGTTTTGTCATTTCGTAAAATTTGGCCTAATTTTAACGTTATGGTCGAAAATTGATGTTTTGTTAGTGAAAGTGGTTTTTCGCTCATCCTGAGCCCTCAAAAGTTTCAGCTTGTTTCTCTGTAAAAATTGAATGCTTTTAAATTTGGTTTGTTGTTATCCGTAGTGCATACTCACCGCTGGTGTTCGATATATTGGAAGTTACTGAAATCAGCGTTTTCGCTGCGAAAATAATTAGATGTTTCAACCTAGCTCTATAGTGAGCAAGCCTCTTCTTTGTTTGATTTTGGATAAAGAGGCAACTGGAGCTTTTCACGGCTTGGTCGATCTGTACCAGAACATTCTGCAAATGGGAAAATTTGGGAGCGCGTTCTAAGTCTGAGAGATTGTGACGTTTCCTTCTCTTACAGTGATACACCAGCAGTTATCACTGATACCCTAAAAGCCTGCCACAAATCGACAATGCCAGCCCGTTTTAGCAACCTTTCCACTAACAGTTTGCACTGTCTTACGCTCTTTCTCCAGTATGAAAGTACTTGAAAACTACCTTCAATCTGATATGGAAGAAGAGAGCCAATCTAGTTTTTTTTCTAGGTCATGAAGGCACATTCCGGCTTAATAGTGAAGGCGCTTGACTCGTAATCGCTCGGTTTCTGGATCGAATTTGAACTTGTTCTTTTTTTCTCTAATAGTTTGTTCCCTAATTTTGTATTGTTTTTGCATTTTAAAATTTCTTTTTGACAGTTCAGCTTTGATTTTGGAAATATGTTTCTTCTATTGAGCCTCAAGTCGATTTACGATGGAAATAGTTGTCTACAGCACTTTTTCTCATCGCATTCAAACTGAAATTTGGTCCGATCACCATATTTTGTGTGGTTCAATTTTTTGTTGTTAAAAAATTTAGAACTTTTCGTTTCGTTTTCCGTGCAAGGTGAGCTTTTTTGGTTTTTTGAGGAGAACTAAAATGATCAATTTATCCTCGAGCTATAAAAATATCATGAAGTAAAATAGTACGTGTGTGCCACCAGATGTTTGTTGCCGATATCTTATAAACTGTTATCAAAAAAGGGTAAAATCCAAACTTGTGTCTTATCCGCTTGCAGAACGATCGGTCCTTGCTGCTAAATAATCACCAATCAAAAGTGAGTAAAAAATACGTTCATAAAGTGTTTAGTGACCGAGTCTTCTAATACACTCACTGCCTTAGAGCTTGCATATAAAGCATCCGACTACTGAAAAGGGGAAAAAATCTTTCGTTTTGTATTTTTTCCCACGCTAAATCAGATACCACAACTAATAATCAAATTTAATTCAATAATATATAATTTTGAAGCCCTTTCATTCCTGGCTCGGATGATATTAAAATTTTATCGACAAATTTCTTTGTGACGAGAAAAGCGGTTTTATTATTTCACGTTTCAGCATGATTTTGAGCGATTAGAGCGAGCGAGTAGGCCGCATAGTGGGAAAAAAGTAATTTTTTGATTAAATTATTTTTATTCCGGAAAAAATTACCTCATTACCTCGAGAACACTTTTTAATGAAATTTTTCCGTCTTTTATCTTTGGTTTTTCTATTTTGAGGACAACTGCAGTCGATTATGATCTTTTTATTCACATCCTAAACTTTTGTTTTTTCACTGATTCTATGCACAAAAAACAGCGCAGAAAAAAACGATAAAAACAGTTTTTTATAGTGCCTGCATTTTGTTGCTTGTGGATTTTAAAAGTAGTTTTGACTCTGTTAAAAATTTAGTCGAATGACTTTTCGCTTATTTTAGCCGTGTTTTTTTTTCAAGAAAAGTTGAAAATTATTTCAGCAATTCGACTTTTTTCTAAACATTAATTTTAGATGAGTTTGAGCGGGTTTTATTCCAAATGCCTTTCAAATTTGGTTTAGAAGTACAATTAATTCCAAAAACAAAGCACCAAAAAAATTTGTCGTATTAATCAAAAAGAACATAATTGAAAGACGCACCGTTATGATTCACCAAACCGCCACCTAGTAACTTCTTCAGGCTTGTTTCTTTCGCGTGTCTTACTGACAAGGATTAAGTGATGAGCCATGAATTCAGTTCAGCTTAATTTACTGAATTGCACACAAACTTTCCATAGTGGGTGCAGTAACATCCAGCAGAATTGACTGCGCCTGGTTGAATCAGAGTTCGTTGATTTTCCCAGCAACCTGAAAAATAATTCACTATTTTTAGTAACATGTGAGGAACTGAAAAATTGAAAAGGGCAGGAAGTTTTTTAATTAGTTTTCTAATTTTTGGCCATTCTCTCTACTTTTTTTTGGCTTTTTCGTTGCATTTTTATCGGCGGCCTAAGATAGTATTTGGGTTATAAACCTAATCAACGCAATGAACTGAAGACTCAAATTTGGTTCAAATAGCTGTGACGCAGTTTCTGCGAAGGTGATACCCATCACAAATGCTAAAAAAACCGTGGCCCATCCACGCACACTCACCGGTACAAGCTAAGCCCCCCATACACTTAAAAAAGCTAAATAACCTCACCCTGAGAAAAGCTAATCCCGCTTTACCCTTAAAAAATCTTTCGTTTTTCTATCTGCCCTTACCATTTATCCACTGGCAGTCAATGTAGCATGGCTGTCTTATTGATATGGGCACAGCTGCTGTCTGACACATGCAGAGACATCTGAATCTGTAGTTGATAGAGGGCACCTCCTTCTGGTTAGTGTAGATGGCAGTGTGGTTGTGATGTTCGTTAAACACTTGACAAGTGCCCAAGTAGAAGTGGATCAGACCTAAATGGACCCCAGTCGAAGAACTAATTGTAGTGTGTGTTATTTTTTCTATATAAAACTTAGCGACCGGGGATATTCTCATGCGCGAAGGGCCGAATGCGCGAAAGCTCTCAACCAATCAACGCTCTTAAAACTGTCCGAAAGATAATAGTTTATCCCGCATAATTCTTTCGCATATTTCTGATTGGTTAAAAAAATTTCGCAAATGAGGGATTTCCACATCAGAAACAAACCTATAAAATAATCAATCTTTGAAATTTTGAATTAAATTTCAAAAACTGGGCGAATATTTCAATTTCCTTATACTCCCCACAAACTTTACTCTTGTAGTTTGTTTTACAACATGAATACGTGTGATATACTGACCTTTGATGTGTGTGTTTTGGATTGCAGTGGAGTTTGGGGATTTGCTCACACACTGGCAGAAGTTGTTCCGATGTTGCCATCTGTCCCCTGCCTTCGCCCCCATATCCTCACACGTGTAGTTCTCTCTATGATACACATGCACATTCTCCTCAACTGCAACAAACACACCCTATCTTTACATTGTAAAGTTTGTTTTCGGCACTGTTGTACTTCGGCACTGTTGTACTTCGGCACTGTTGTACTGCCCCGGAAGTAGTATCTACCTGTTTTTGGCCGGAACAAATAAAATTAATATTGTATTCATCTCCATTGTTTCGATCATGTTTTGAGCTATGGATACATCTTTGAGAAAGCTAATAGCAATTGATATCATCTTCAAGCTTTGCAAAATTCAAAACTTTCCATATTTGTTCCAGTTATTTTAGGGTGTGAGAACAATAGTTTTTCCTTCATCAGTACATTTGCAAAAACTAATGAAAATTTTCACGAATTATAAAGTTTTGCACTCATTTCGGTTCTTGTTTCATAAATTAAAAAAAATGATTTTGCTTTTTAGCCTATCCAGGCGTTATTTAAAAATTTCACATCAGAAATTTTTTTGAGTAATTTTTGAGTAAAATTTTGAAAAAAAAATGTACAGATTATAGTCTACCATAATCCATTATAATGGATTTTAAATCGATTTTAAATGAATTACAGTCGGTTACGTGGTTCCAAAGTGTAGTCATAATCAATTATATTGACAATCATTTGAATATGAGAATCAATTATAATATATTATTGTTCCGACTTTCGATACGAAAGTAACGGTATATTTGTGCTCGGGGTGGGTTTTTTTCAGACAAATTTTGACTTTTTAACTAGCCATTTCTGACGGATTTTGTTTTTAAAATCATTCAAAAGGTATTGTTGTCTTGAGCTTAAATTTGAAAAGATATTACGCCTGTGATCATTTTTCGTACAAATATGGGGGTTTAAAGATTGCCATTTTGGCAATTTTTGGGCAATTAACGCACGATATATTTCACGCTATTAATGCGTAAGCGGAGATTTAATCCGTCTTAGAAATTGTTCCAAATTGGTTGAAAGAAGCTTATTTGCCATAATTGATTTGTTACAAAGAGCGAAATCTATCCTTTTGTGCTTATTATGGCGTGTGGGGGAATGATTTTCATAGTTTTTTTTTATGTTATTACTGCTCCATAAACCTGAAAAGGCAGTCTTGTTGTTCATTGAAGTTCGTTGCGAGTTGAGATATTTAGAACATGCTATTTAGTAATTACATTTGTATGAAATACAAGTTTTTACTCCCTAAATCTCTCAAAATGGACCGATTTAGTCAGTTCTAGATGAAAATCAAATAAAAATGTTTCTTTTAAACAAAAAAATTGCTAAAGTTCAACAACCTCAATGATTTTTGGAAGCATAAAAAATTAATTTCATAAGCCGCTATAATGTTTCACACTGAATAAATCAATTATTTGCTGAGATTATTTCTTATCGCATGCGCAACTAATTTTTCACGCATCTAGAAAACCTTATTCCAGAATGGAGAACCTGAAGTTTTCTGAACCCAACTGAACTATTGCAATCTTTAAACGGAGTGCTGTTTAAATGTTTTTGAAATGTTTAAATGTGAACTAATGAATTTACAAAAGCTTACACCTAAAACAAAAAAAATATATATATTTTCAAGGAAGAGATAATTTTTTTAAATAAAATTAGCCAAACAGAGGAAAAATAACTGGCAGACTGGCAGATGTAGCCGTACATTTTGTTTTTTCTTTCAAAATTCGAGTGCTCTCCATTTTTGCACTACTTATGACTAGCAATGTCATCCAATCACGCTTTTCTTGCCAACTAGTTAAAAACGTCTAAAACAAAATATGTTATTGCAAATAGCAAAACAAAATTTTACACTCTGTAGATTACTAGCGTGCTGATTTTTGGTCACATAATGATAGCTACTTAAATGAAAAAGAAAATAAAGAGAAAACTTGATTAATAAGACGATTCAAAAGTATAAATTGAAGGCCAACTAAAGTCAGACCAACAAAATTGAATGTTAGGCTGAGTTTGTGTTTTTTATCAATCCTCAAAAAATTAAGCAACTTTGAAAAAAAATGAATTCTTCCTTTAGAAAAAAAACATAGAATTTGAATTATGATTTTATTTATATATAGTTCAGTCCAAAAGACAGCTGGAAAAATAACGAAGCAAAACTATCCATCTGCTAGTTAAGCAGAATCCAATTTTCTGAACCACAATTTAAGGTGACATCATCAGTAAGGAATTCTAATGTAGATTGAAAAAAGCTTACGTGAAAGATACTGTTTTATTCAAATTAAAATTGAAAATCAAATTTATTATACCATACCAATAATATGTGCTTTTCACATCTCACGACGTTTTCTTTTACAATTTTATCAAAAAGGACAATTAGCTTTTATCAAAATAATAAACTTATGTGCAGAATTGGAAAAAAAAGGATAAACTAAAGAGTTATATGGCAACTTTCATGTGAGCGAATTTGCAAACAAATTTTCCAGCTGAAAAAGAAAAGCTTTTTAGATAAATTTGAAACAATTTTTTTGCAAAACGGTGTTATGAACTTTTGAAAAAGAAACAAGTACACATTATAGAAAAACAGTATAGAAAATTACTTTTTTCGCACTTGGATACTACCAGGAAACTCTTGTACACTGATCGTTCTTGTGCAAACGTACGCTAATCACTAATCGCACTCATACAATTAGTGAGATAAAAAGATAACTTGTTTTCTACATGGTATAATTTTTTGATCTGCAAGTAGTATTCTTGATTTGTGTTTGATGGTCTTGGCAAAATTTTTTTTCTGAATTTAAAATCGAATGTACATCATCTTTCAGATAGATTTTTTCAAATCAGTTCGAATTCTTTTTTTAGCTGATGAGCTGAGGTACTAAAACGTTGATGCTGTGTAGCTAGCAGATCCATATTTTTGTTTTGATAATTTTTTCCTGCAGTCACATCAATTGAGGTATGTATGAAAAACGCAGGGATGGCGAAAACTCGTCGCAAGCGTCAATTCGTTTCCAGCGACCATTCGTAGCATTTGTAAAAAGCTACTACTCGTAGCATTTGAAAAAAGTGATTAGATGAAAGGGTTAAATTGAAATACAAAGAAACTATGCATCAAAATTGAGCGAGAGGCCCTCGAGTTGCTTTAGAGTCTTATTGTTTTTTTAATGTTACGGGAGTTCAATTCTTCCGACTTGGCTTTTTGTTGTTTTTTGTCACCTTGGCGGCACTTTATCCGGCAATTATTTTAATCAATTTGTTCTCGACAGACTTTGTAGTTTTGTAGAAAACTTCTCATTAAAGAAGAAGAAAGAAAACTAATTAAACTGTTTGATTGCTAACCCCATCTTGAATTGTATCAAATTGATAAAATAACGCTGCACATGCTTTAAATGTCCAATCTGCATGCCAGACTGTGTTGCTTTCCAAAGAAGTTTTTAAGTTCTCGTCGCTTGCAAAATTTAAACCTGGTTTTTGTCATCTGACCCCGAGTCAAAAAGGAAGATATTATCTCCCCTCACGGACTTGCTTAGCTCCAAAGGCACGACAATGTCCTGAATTGATTCTGGGCGGAATCAGAATTGCTCGTTGTCGCTGAACAATTCTCGCGAGTGACTTGTACTTAGGCGAGCTAGCAACTGTTTCGAGGCTAACATCCCCATCGGTTTCAATGTAAATTATCCTGCGAGGCTTCATTTTTTTCTGTTTAATGGCACGTTTATTTCTAGTTTTACTATTATAGTTTTGTATTAGGCCAAAAAACTGTTTGATTCCTCGTAAATTCTTCCAGTCTTTATAAAATTAGCCTGTTCGAGGGTTATGTTTTTTCCCTTGTGAGTTGCCAGTTTCTCCCACAGAAACGCACGCCTTGCAGTCATGTTAGTTAACAGTTCTAAAACAATTTATAAAATGATTTTTTTTTCATTTTGAAAGTTTAATTTCGCGCTCATGTCAAAGTTTTGTTCAAGTCAATTTTTGACTTCCTCCTTGCATGTAATATTTTAGTGGTCATGTTCTCCAGATATGCTGACATTTTATCTGCGATGGTGGCTCAAGCTTTACGCAGTCTCTTCATGCATCACCAACTGGGTTTATCAGCTGCATTGTTGTGGCGATTTTGGTTGAAAGTTTCTCCATTGTGGACAAGTTGCTGTTTTGCTAGCTGACACATAGTAAAAATTAAAGGCATAATGGTATCAGTAAGTATAATGATTTGCAAGATACAATTGAAACAAATAAATCGAAACGAGGGTGTTTCAGATGCTACTAACGTGCAATTACTCTTATCTTTGCTGTTAATTCATTTCAATTTGGTGTTTACTTCAAAACTGATGCTAAATTGAAAATTTAAATCGCTCGCTAAAATTTAATCCCCTCACAACCATCACAAAACCCTTTGCTCAATTCGAATCTTTTTTTAAAACCCCCAATTAGCAAGTAACCGTGCTGCTAACTGTCGCTTGCTACGAATTGACGCTTGGTGAGAATTGGCGCTTTTTAAAATAGCTGCAATTCGTCGCTTGAGACGAATTGTCGCCTCCCGACAAACGCATAGTAGTTAAAAATTATTTTTGATCCTTGATTGTTTATAGATGTTTTTTGTTCTGCACTCTTCTGAATTTTGTTAATTAACTTCTTTCTGAATAGTCAGGTTTTCTTTTCATTTGTTTTGGCTGAGTAGACCTTTTTATATGGTCAAAGATTATATGAATTATAACTCTTTTTGTTCATTGAGAGCAGACGGAAGGTCACGTGAAATTGCATTAGTGCATAGTGCTTCAGGCGTGAACAAACTAACTGGTAGAAGCTGCGAGAAAGGATAACGTCTTTAGGTATAAAAACAATAGAGAATCATGGTAGCACTTATGCTTTGAAGGAAAAAAATAGATCAGGTTGAGGTGTAATAAACATCATTTTTAGCAGAAACTATTTTCCCTTCTAATCAGAGTTGACTTTAGAGTATAGCGACAACTTTTCTGCCGTGCCAATTTAGGCATGGAGTTCATTTTAGGAATTTTTAAGAAAAAATTTTTGAGCGTGTTTCTGTATTCTAAGCATATCACATTTTATTCGTACCAAAGTTCATTCCGAAC